ATGATGATGATGGTGGTAATGATCATGGTGATGGTGATGGTGATGATGATCATGGTGATGGTGATGATGTTGGTGATGGTGATGGTGATCATGGTGATGGTGATGATAAGGTGATAGTGATGGTGATGATGATGGGGATGATAATCATGGTGATGGTGATAATGATCATGGTGATGGTGATGGTGATGATAAGGTGATGGTGATGATAATGATGCTCATGATGGTGATGATGAGGTGATGGTCATGGTGATGGTGATGGTCATGGTGATGGTGATGATAAGGTGATAGTGATGGTGAGGATGATGGTGATGGTAATGATGATCATGGTGATGGTGATGGTAAGGATGATGGTGATGGTGATGCTGAGGTGATGGTGATGATCATGATGACAGCGATGGGTCCAGGTGTCAAAGTTCAGCAGCCATGGGATAATAAGCAAGCGTAGTACATACATTCAGTTATGCCATTTAAAAACACAAGTTTTCTTACTGAGCAGATCTAAATTCACATCGAATTTTTACCATTGATAGCTCCGTGACCTTCGCAACTGCTCTGGACCTATGTTTCAACTGCAAAAAAAAAAAAAAAAAAAAGAAAGGAAAGAAAAGAAAAAGAAAAAGCAGTATAATGAAAAATAAATGAAAATAAGTGCTTTCCTCCAAAGATGTGTTGCAATGGTTAAATGAGATAGCAGGGAAGGCATCTGAGCACAATGCCTGGTGTGCAGGCTGTTCGGTAAATGTTCATGTTCCTCTCTTTCCCTGCCTCCACCTCACCTGTTCTCAGCTTGGCTGGAGCAAGCAGTGAGGCTTAGGGTATTGGGAAGGAAGCATCTCTCCCAGAAGAGAGTCCTTCCCCAGAGACTCATCAGAGGCTCAGCAGCCCCAGGGAAAGGACAAACTGCCAAGGGAGCCTCAAGCCTCAGCCCAGCATCCCCTCCCAAGCTAAGCAAAACATTGGAAGGCTTGGATCAGGAAAGACAACCCAGTTCCTTAGCAACTAACAAGCATTTCCCTGTAAAGACAAAGACCCTTCACTCAGAATGCTCCCTCCCCCCTCTCTCCAGGTGTCTGATCTGCTTTGCAGACGTGGGGCTGGGGGCTATCCTATCCCCAGGACATCTAGAAGCCTCTTGCCTCACCCTCCTGGCTGTCCTGATATTACCTGCAATTATGCCAGAACACCTTTCATCCTAGTGCTAATTAATTTTTCCACTTACCCCCAGGAGCTTCTGGGAGACACATGAGATACACACACACACACACGCACACGCACACGCACATGCACACACACACACGAATGCCCATATTTTCTTTCTGAGGCTCTCTCTATTTTAAAGACCAGAAAAGTATGGTTAGTGAAAGGAACCCATTTTTTGAGAGTTTCTGTCTGCTGCCTCCCTGGTATTTGGAAGGAGAAATGAGCGCTAAAAAATGATGGTTTAGGGAGAAGGGAGAACAGGGTCCCTAGGTATCAGGGGATGAAGGACAGCAAAGGACTTTTAAAAGGACCAAGGAAACCCATGCCGGGACAGTGGACTCAGCACCAGGTGCCACCTCAGAGCCTCCAAGCATAAGTCGTCCTGCTTAACACAGAACATTTTAAAGAAAAAAAGAAAGAAAATGTTTTAATACTAAAGGAAAGGTCGAGAAACAGTAGGAAACAGAAGGAAATAGAAAAGAAAAACATGGCTGTCTAGCCTGAAAAGAATCACTGACCAGTAGTCAAGATCTGAATCCAGTATCAGCTTCACCATTCACTGCTGTGTGAGCCCGGGTAAGTCAGCCACCCTCTCTGGGCCTCAGTTTCCTCATTGATAACATAATTTGGGACAGGTATTCTCTGAGGCCCCCATCTAGCAGAATGTTCTGCGATTTTATATGGTCATTTGGGGGAGTGGCAGAGAAAGCTATGACCACTCGCTGGGGCGGGGAGTAAGTGGAAGCCACTAGAAAAAATTGAAATGAGCATTTCCAGAATCCAGAATGAAAGAGAGCCATGTGCATTTGGCTGCAGGAGCCAGGAAGCCCTCCCAAGCGTGAAGCCCAGGTTAAAAAGAGTTTACAGATGTGGAGGCTGAAGACCCTGGGAGTCCCCAGAAGCAGCAGACAGGCCAATCTCCCTCAAACCCAGGCTAGAGAAAACCTCTCAGGGGCCCTCAGCACCTCCTGGAGGGAGGATGGAAGAGCGCATAGGCATGGGTCTGCACATAGAGCAGGATGCAGGAGCACACCCTGTATTCCCCATCAGCCGGGCTCCACACCATTGGCATTAAGTCAGCAGGGTAGACGGGAGTGGGTAAAAGGGAGGAGGCTGACCACATCAGGAAGGAGGAACAGCAAGGCCATTGAGTCCTAACCTTGTTTTCCAGATCCATGATGGAAGCAGGAGAGCAGCTGAGTGTGCTTCCTTTAGGGACTGGGCCATAGGGGCAGGCCTGGGAAGCGCCCTGGGAGTTCAAACACCCTCCCCCAATCCCCAGGACGCCCCACAAACACCAGCATGCTAGAACAGCTAGACATGCACCTTCAAATCACTGTAAAGAAACCAATACTTTGTACACACATGCTGTGGCTATGAAGCCAGCACACAGTCAGCCTTTCAGCAGGATTTAGGGAGGCTCAGCTGTGAGTCAAGAATTGAATGCACTACAAAAAAAAATTTAGGTCTCTGCCTTATTGGTCAAGTGCAGTGACTCACACCTACAATCCCAGCACTTTGGGAGGCTGAGGTGGGTTGATCACTGAGGTCGAGAGTTCAAGACCAGCCTGACCAACATGATAAAATCCCATCTTCACTAAAAATACAAAACTTAGCTGGGCGTGGTGGCAGGCACCTGTAATCCCAGCTACTTGGGAGGTTAAGGCAGGAGAATCACTTGAACCCGGGAGGTGGAGTTTGCAGTGAGCCAAGATCATGCCACTGTACTCCATCCTGGGTGATAGAGCGAGATTCCATCTTAAAAAGAGAAAAAGAGAGAGAGAGAAAAGAAAGAGAACAAAAGAAAGAGAAAGAGGAAGAAAAAAAGAAAAAGAAAAAGGAAAGAAAGAAAAGGAAAGGAAAGAAAAGAGAAAGAGAAGAAGAAGGAGAGGAACAGAACCTAGGTCTCTGCCTTCTGGAAGCTCTTCCAGTGTGGGAGAGAAGATGGACAGACCCAGAGGTGGCCAAGAGTTGTGCTGATGGTGAGGCCTGTGCAGGAGGTAAGTGCCAGAAGAGAGGGATGGGAAGGCTGGCTGACAAGAGGGGAGGGAGCATTCCAAGCCTGGAGGGGATGTAGCAGCCTATGGAGGGGGAAGGGGACCTGAGGAGAGAGGCCTAAAATAAAGGACAAAGCAGTTGCTGGCCTCAGGCTCACACTTGCAGTTCACTAACCTGCCCTCAAGCCTTGATCTGCGGGGGCACCTACAGCCCAGCATTTGCCCACATGGGCCCTTGTCACCATGGTCCAGGGCCTGCCTGTCTTCCTTCCCCACCCCCTGAGAGGCGAGCCCACACAGACAAGTGTGTGTGCACACATTGACACACACCTCTACTGTATGAAACTTGCACACGCTTACTGTAAATACAGCAACCCACACAAAATCACATGGTGTATGCACCCGCTAGACACTCCAGGATATCGGCTCTGCCAAGCTCTTTCTAGACATCCATGTGGCCTGTGTACACGTGCGCTGTTCGGCTTCCACAAATGTGGACGTGGAATTTGCATGCACATGTGATCTCCATATATGCACACCCACTTTGTTCACAGCCTGTACACACACCAACCCACCACTGATACAGAGACACCCCCCGTGTGAATTACACTGAGGATCAGACAAGGCCTAACCGCAGCTCTCACTTTGCGTCTTCTGATGCAGCAAGTGGATTTTTGACAGCGGCAGTGGAGGTTTCATGGAGGAGGGGGAACTGGGAGGAGTGTGTGGGGTAACGGGGAGGTTCTGGCAGAAGAGGGGAACTAGGCCTTCCCTGAAGTCCATGAGGAAGGCACCCAGACACATGCCCTTCTCCCAGCAGCCCTACCTCTGGCCCCTCGCCTGCTGCCAGGCCAGAGAAAGGAGAAGCTAAAAGTGGCCAGTCTGAGTTGCTAAATTGGACCTTGGCAGAGAAGGGGAAACGCGTCAGTTCCCTGGGGAAGTGGCTGAGCCCAGGGCGGCCACAGGCCCCTGAGCTTCTACTCCAATGGAACAAAAGTTGCTCAAATAGATCTGACGCTTTGTTTTCGAACCCAAAATACCCTGTGGTGGCCGCCGGAAGTGTGACCGCGGGAGGGAAGTGGGGCAAGAGGGGAAGATTAGTTCGAGTTTCCATTGCAGGCGACTTTATATTTCATTCGGGGTCTAGAAGCAGCTTTCCTGCTACTTGGAGAGAGTGTTTGTGTGAAAGGGGAGTGCGGCTCTGAGATTTGGGGTCTGGGCCACCTGAAGTGACAGCAGTCACCCTTCTTCTGCAGCCATCTCTCCCCAGAGGTGGCCTCTGAAAATAGCCCTGTCCTCACGCACTGTCAGAATTTCATCTCCGGCCACCTGGTGGCAGGGTGGGAAAGCCCACCCTGGAGAAGTGGGGATGATTAGACTGGGAAGGGGACAAGTGGCAGGTGACTTTGTCTTTAGATACTAGACTTTCCCTTGTGAACGTTGATTCTTTTTTTGTTTGTTTGTTTTAACAAAAATTCTCTACACAGAATTTTTCAAAGAGCACTCAGTAAATGAGGCCGTAGCTGGACCAAAACACAGACCCATGTATTCAGACTCGGTCCTTTAATGACTACCAGTGCGAGCTCCAAACTGCAAGGATTCCCGAAGAATTACAGGACCTCAGTGTGCACTCCCATCACCTTCTGTACCCTTATCCCTATTTATCTTCACACCACTGATCAGCATCTCATATGTGTGTATTTGTCTGTTTCCACCCTGAATACTCATTAGACCTGAACTCTCCGCACTGGAAGGACTTGGACTTGGCTTTCATCGGTGCCATATCCCCAGTGGCTGACCACACAGTAGGTGCACCATAACCGATGCTCAAATGCTGGGAAAAAATGGGAGGAAGAGAGGTCATCAGACAGTCGTCTTGCCTCATGGGAACTTGTAAATTCAAAACTGTTTCGGTGGCTCTACCCCAGCCTCTGGTGCCATATCAGGGTGCAGTAGGGCTCCAGAGGGGAGAGTTGGGGGGATACGATGGGAATACAATACAAAATGAGACGCTCTGGCCCTTGTGGAACAAACCTTTGTGGGAGGAGGGCGGAGCAGACATTTGTCAAAGGATACACAAAGGTCGAAAGGTAAGCAGGGAGGATTTCGGTCAACCTAGGAGAGGTATTTGGAGTGACACCTGGAAGAGGTACACCGGGAAGGCTTTTTAGAGCGTGCTTAGACTGACCGATGGGGTTTGACTCTGTGAAGGTCCCAGCCCCTGCCTGACACCGCGCGGGGCTGAGTGCAGTGGCCGGGGTGCCTCCCTTTGGCACCCGGACACCAGGGATTCGAACCAGTCGCCTGACAGGCCGAACGGCGCCGCCCAGGGCCAGCAGGGCGGGGTGAGGGGGGACTTGTGAACCCGGGCTGCAGTTCAGACGCGGCCGCGCGGCCTCGTCCCTGAGTGCTATTTACCAGCTTTTAATGAAGGCAAGGTAATCACCCTAATGAAAAACGCCCTCGAGGCTCAGGGCAGCCAGACTGCGATGAGGAAACCGGGAGGCATCTCAGAGCCGCCAGTGAGTCACAGTGAGTGTGCAGCGCGCCGGCTTGCGCTGGGCTAGAAGGATGCCCGGGCGCCCTCCCTACCGCGCGCCACTCCTGCGCGGCGCCTGGAGCCCCGAGCGTGACAGCGTGCTCGCAGGGCCGTGGGGTCTACACTCCAGGCACTCCGACACCCCCTGGGAAACCACGCCCCATCAGCCAAGCCTCCAGCAGACCCGAATTCTCCACTGCAACGTTTGATCAGGCCTGCAAGGGGCTCTTCCTCTTCCTCCCTACTCAGCGCTGGGCTTCCCAGGTGCCTGGATTTTGGAGGGTCTACTCTCTGGTGGGTTCAAGGCACCCCTGAAGATTCTGGGTTTCACGTCTCTCCTAAGGACAATTTTTCTCCCAGTACCTCAGTTTCCCCAACTCAGTACCGGTAGCATAAGATTCTCCACACCATCCTCCACACCCTGCCCCCGGGTGGCAAGAGTATTAATTACAGTTTGTTCCTGGCTTTGAAGATGAAAAATACCAAGGATCATTACCACTCAATTAACGGGGCTGTTTACTCCTGGAGTTTAGAGCTGATTAATCTGCCCCCTGCCACTTGCCTTGGATCCATGTTGCCCCCTGATGCCCCTTCCTTGGACTCTCACAAGCTCCTCCTTCCTCCTGGATTCATACGTGGAGTTAGTGCCTTTCCTGTACCTGCCAATACTCTTGGGGCCTGCAAGAGCATTTGGCACATTCTGTCTTCAACAAGTATTGTTGAGCTCCCGGCAAAGCCAGGGGCTAGATGGTAGGGAAGCGAAGGTCACAGACCAAAGCCCTTGCCTTCCTGGAGCTTGCCTTCTGGTAAGTGCCCAAATGTCTACGTGGGATTGGGTGTAAGTCCATGGCTTCCTCTTGCCTTCCCCCTCTCCCTCTAGGCTTCCTCATTCAGACAACAAACCATGGGCAGTCCTAGGCCAGGCACCCCAGTCCTGGGTGGGCAGTGCTAACAGGCTCTAGTTTCAGAGATGAAAACAACAAAGTTAAAGAGGAGGGGAAAAGATCACAGCGCCTTGTATGGAACACCCCCCACCCTTCCCCTCCTCTCTTCTTCTCAGCCCTTTCTTGAGGTCTTGGTCAGGCGCCCCGTCTTCTATAGGGCATTCCCTGGCCCTGAACATCTCTCTCCTCCAAGCCTGCAGTGGCCCTTACCAATCGGAACTTCCTGCTTATACCTCCTCTGGACATGTATCATGTCTCATACGTGATATTTCCACTGAGCCTCATTCCACACTTCTCATTAAACTGCTGCTCCCTGACAGCAGAATCCAAGCCTCGAGTGGTTTTCTTCCACTAAGAATGCATGGGAGTTCTGTGTAGATGTTGCCCTCACTGAAACGAGAGCGCTAAGGCCCAGTCCTGAAAACCCCACACCCACTCCAAAGTGGAATTCTAGTGGTCAACAGGCCCCCCATCCGGTGCTGTGAGGGTTAGGAGACTCAGGGGATGTGGGGAGAGAAGCCAAAGGTGGGAAGGGCAACGTGGGTCAGACTCCTCCAATCAACCATGCTTCAGAATCATCAACTGGGATATTTGAATTGGGTACACAAGCCCTTACTGAGTACCGATTGGGGCCAGGCACAGTTCTAGGCACTGGGGAGACAAAGGTGGGTAAGACTCAGTCCCTGCCTTCAGGGAGCTTAGATACCATCACTTGTCTTCAGCAAATTTCTGGTTGATCCTAGGCCAAATAATTCTGAGCAACCCAAATAATTCTTAGCATCACGCCCCTCTTCCTTCGCCTATGCACCATGAGCGCTGGCAGGGAAGCCCATGCCATCAGTCAGAGCTTCCTAGCCAATGTGCAGCCCACCAGTGGGTTCTGGTTGGGCCAATATTGGTCTCAGCATGATGCGATGGGGCCAGGGCAGCCTCGGTTCTTTACTGCAGTGGCTGTAAAGAGAGTTTCATTTTCTATGAGAATTACAGCATGACAAAGGTTGGGAAGCCCTGCCTAAGCCATCTGGTGAAAGAGGGTGCAAATGCCACCAAAGAGTTCCAATTCTGGGTCCCAAAGAGTCATTAACTGCTGCTCCCTGGATTCCAGAGTTTTGACTACATAGAACAGCAAAGAAGAAACCAAAAGTTGGCATCCATCCAATTCCTCACCTGGATGGATGAGGCCAGCACCTGATTGTTTTAGACTGAGGAGGCGTCTGAGGCTGAGAACTGTTAAGAGACAGGGGTCTAGGGTCTGCAACTCTCTCTGGTTTCCTGAAGCTTTTTCTTACAGGGCACAAAGAGAGGAATCTGCCAGCCTTTGGTCTCAGCATCTGTCCCATGGGCAAAGCGTGTATCCAGCAAGAATCCCGCTGTGTGGCAAGCAATGGAGGTGAGAATGTGCTCTCATCTCTTTTGTCTCTCTAACCCTCCCTCTTCTCTCACTCACTCCCTCTTTGCTTCCCCTGACTGCCTCCCGCACCGCCCCCCACCCCACACTCACACCTTTTCTGGTTCATTTCAAGTCACAAAGTTCCTCTTTCCAAAAAGCCCCATCCCCAGAGAGTCCTTTCTGCAAAGACACCCGTCCCTGCTGGCTGAGAAGGGCCTGTCCCAGTGGCCCCCAGGGGGAATGACAGTCCCTCGGAACACATGACCCCATTTACCTTCCCTGAGCCCCGAGCTAAGACAGTGAAGTTCCCACTACAAGTACTCATCCCTCCCCTTTCTCCCTGAAGACCCCAGCCCAAGCCCTACAGAACCACTAAATTTGATTAGGAACTTGAACAGATGTCTCTGAACCCTTCTGCAATAGAACTAGAAACTCATGGATTAACAGAGCTGGGAGGAACTCAGAGCTAGTTTATCCCAGTCCAAACCCTTCCCAAAGGCCAGGAATGAGAAGGCCTTGGCCTAAAATCTTAGATCATTCATAGCAGAACCCAGAACTCCTGATTCCCAGGCCAGGGCTAACACCTGACATCTACCCACACACCACACTTTGCACGAGTCTCACCTTCTAAGATCCTCCTTCCCTCCTGCCCCAGCCCAGCCAGCCCCAAACTCTCATCCTCTGGAGTACACATGGCAGTGACTTGCTGCCTTGGACTTGTGTCTTGGGAGAGGTCTCCAGGACAATCCACTTTGGGTGCCTGTCCTCCTCAATATGTGGTACTTTTTCTGGCCAGGCACAGTGGCTCATGCCTGTAATCCCAGCACTTTGGGAGGCCAAGGCAGGCAGATCACCTGAAGTCAGGAGTTTGAGATCAGCCTGGCCAACATGGTGGAATCCCATCTCTACTCAAAATGCAAAAAAATTAGCTGGGCGTGGTGACGGACACCTGTAATCCCAGCTGCTTGAGTGTCTGAGGCAGGAGAATCACTTGAGCCCAGAAAGCGGGAGATTGCAGTGAGCTAAGATCACACTATTGCATTCCAGCCTGGATGACAAGAGCGAGACTCTGTTAAAAAAAAAAAAAGTTACCCCCTCCCCTCCCCTCCCCTCCCCTTTCCTCTTCTCCCCTCCCCCACCCCCCGCTATAGTACAGTGGCAAAATCTCGACTCACCACAGCCTCCACCCCCCCGAGTTCGAGATTCCCCTGCCTCAGCCTCCCAAGTAGCTGGGACCAGAGTCGTTCGCCACCACACCTGGCTAATTTTTGTATTTTAAGTAGAGATGGGGTTTCGCCCTGTTGGCCAGGCTGGTCTCAAACTCCTGACCTCAAGTGATCCTCCCACCTTGGCCTCCCAAAGTGTTGGGATTACAGGCATGAGCCACCTTTCCCTCCAGTAAATGTTATTATGTAACAAGACTTTTTAGTCACCAGACTCTATCTGAAATTGCTTAAAGCGTAATCAAAAACACTCTTGTTTCAACATCATTATAATGTGTTAGTTTGAATTTAGGCACAAACAGGTGTTTAGAAAGGAAGTATGTAACTGGCTTGAAGAAGACCCGGCAACCTCCGAGACAGCCTAGGAGGGAGCGGCACAGGTACGGAGTGGCACTGTGGCTGTTTCACCTTCCGAGAGACCCTGGCGAAAACAGTTCCTCCCTGATTCGTGTGGGAATGGTGAGTACCCGTACTCTCCCCTGGGCTACGGCCTCTCCCCTGCCCCCATGCCGCGTCCAAGGGGGCCCTACAGTGCACCACTCAAGCTTGCCTTTCTCCCACACATTGACTTCTCCACAGTTTCATCCTGATTCCTCCTCTTACCCGCATCTACCACCCCGTCTCTTTCCCTTGACACAGCCACAGTGGGGACAAAGGATGGAGGTAAGAGCATTTGTTTTGGAGTCACGTGGGATGAATTCCAATGTCAGACCAGCCAGGTATTCTCCAGTAAGCTACTCAAACTCTTAAGACTTGAAAGGGCAACACTAAAAGCTTCCTCTCACAGGATTGTGATAAAGAATGAAGAAAATTATGGCCTGGAATGGTGGCTCACACTTGTAATCCCAGCACTTTGGGAGGCCGAGGCAGGCGGATCACCTGAGGTCGGGAGTTTGAGACCAGCTTGACCAACATGGAAAAACCCTGTCTCTACTAAAAATACAAAAATTAGCTGGGCATGGTGGTGCATGCCTGTAATTCCAGCTACTCGGTAGGTTGAGGCAGAAGAATCACTTGAATCCAGAAGGTGGAGACTGCGGTGAGCTGAGATCAAACCATTGTTCTCCAGGCTGGGCAACAAGAGCAAAACTCCATCTCAAAAAAAAAAAAAAAAAAAAAAGACTCAAAAAAAAATTTGTTTTAATTAGCTGGGCACAGTGATGCGCACCAGTAGTCCCTGCTACTCAGGAGGCTGAGGCCAGAGGATTGCTTGTGCCAAGGAGATCAAGACTGTAGTAGCCATGATCATGCCATTGCACTCCAGCCTGGACAACAGAACAAAACCCAATTTATTTAAAAAAAAAAAACGAAGAAAATGAAATGTGTCCACAAGTCCTGGCCAAGGCAGGCATCAGATACCGGTCGCCCCTATCTTCCATGTCTACAGCCTGGAAGCTCCTGCAGCTCCCCGGGACTGGGCTCCATTCCGACTCCACCAGGAGCAGCAGCCTCAAGGTCTTCAAGCCTGCGGGAATCTGTGGGCCTGCCAACAGCATTCCCTTCCTAAAGCTTCTAGGCAAAACCAGCCTAGCCTCTGAGCTAGCTGTCTTTATCCAAGAAATGGCAATGATCTCTACAACACCAGACAGGGCTGGCCAGGAGGATTCCACTGTGACTTGTCCGTCACCTATGAACCCCTGTGGCGCACCCCAAAATGGAAAACAACTGAGGGCCCTCAAGAGAACGGCAATTCAGGAGCAGTCCCCCCAGGCTGGGCCCCGAACACAGGTGCTTGGTGTGATTGGAGGAACCCAGATACTCTCTGCACCCCAAGTCTCCCACTCCTTGACTCTGATATGCCACAACCAGATGTGATTCCACCAGCATTCATGGGCACCTGCCACTTTCCAGCCATCATGCTGAGTATTGGGCTTGATGCCTCTGGGTTGTATATCACCCTCCCTAAGCGTTTTCTTTTAAAAGGAACACACCCTCTGAGAAGGGCAATGCATTAGATTGCTCACACCCCAGATTGAATTAATTCAGGGTGTGAGGAGTTCTTTATAGTAAGATAGCAGAAAAGGACTAGATATCTTTAGCAAACAGGGCAGCTAAAGTTCAGAGGGCAGAGGTGACTATAAAACAAGACCAAGACAGAGCTGTCACTTTGAATTTTTCTACAGTGGATTTCAGGGGCCACTTCTCCTCCCTCCTTTGTCCTTAATCAAGGCAAACATGCCCTTGCCCAGGACAAGCAGCCGCATTCCCCATAAGTACAGCTGATGGGTTGGACTCCATAGGAGACAGCGGCCAAGAGCTGGCGGCCCTGGCTTTGCTGCAGAGGAGCCGGCCTGCCTTTCACCACCTCCAGGATAAGGACGCCCTGAACCAGTGCCTACTCGCTCCCCAGCAAGTTCAGGGCTTAGAGTTCAGGTAATTAGGCCCTTGGCAGTCTCACCTGAGCCCGCCAATAAACCAGACAAACACCTTCAGCTCCTGTTCAGGAGGAAGAGAGGAAACCAGGAGGGAGGAAGGGAAGGAGGAAAACTTTTTTCTATTCTAAGGCTTGGCAACCAGAAGGGAGAATGCGATTCATTTACAAAGCAGCCACTCCAACACCCCACTCCTGCTTCACACCCAGCGTTGTCCCCTCCTGCCACAGAACCCTGGACTCCAACTGCCATGGTCCTCCAGGGTGATGGGGGACATCTGTGCAGGCCACAACCCGAACAGGCACCGGGTACTGAGGGCCCAACCTTGTGGGGCAGGCTTTCCCCAGCATGGTTCCTTCTAATAGAGGACAGAAGGAAAAGCTCCCTCCCACTCCAGGGGCTACACCCCCCCTAAAATGTCTGAAAGCCTGCTCCAGAGTGTTAGAGAGCAACTGAGTGACTTTGAACCCTGCTTTGTGTCACCACCATCTGTTGAGGGCTCACTTCGTGTCTGGGCTCTTGAAGACCCGGGACCATTCCTTAACCATCCCTAGATTGGGACAGTGCCCAGGAAATACCACACACAGAGATAGGAATTTCCTTTTCCCCCTAAATAGTAAACATTATTAACACTTCTTGCATATGATCAAGCTGCTCTGTGATGAAGTTCCATACCTGGCCTTTTTAGTACCTATATCATCTAAATTTACTCCTGTCATACACAGGAGGGAAGGGCCTGTCTGTCACATGGCAGGGTGAGGAAGAATAGTTTAAAAATAGTAACTGCAGTTTATTGGGCGCTTTCTTAAGGCACTGGAAAGGACTCTATGAGGATTATCGAATTTAATTCTTCCTAAAGGGTAGATACTGTTATCCCAATTTACAGACGAGGAAACTGAGGCTAAGAAAAAAAAATACAGACGTGTGCCCAACGTCACAATGAAGCTTTAATGAAGACTTTATTTAATTGAATTGAAGGCTCCCGTTTTATGCAAAGAACTAGTATAAAGGAGAGGGAAGGAATCATGTCTCCAGACTCCTATCCAATCTTGCTGCCCGGTAAGTAAGTAGGCCCTGGTGCAGGTTGGCAGACTTTGCCCCATGCTGTTCTCCTTGGGAGCAACAAGTCCAGCGAGCCGAAAAGGGTCAGGGAAGGGGGCCGTCTGCTCCAGATGGCAGTGGCTGCACTCCACCGCCTCTGTGGCCCTGGAAGCTTAAGGATCCCAAACGCTTCCACTGCCTCTGCTTTTCCCAACGCAGGCCCCAGTCGAACAGGAAGAGGACTTCTAGCTCCTCACTCTGCAGCCCCTCCTGGGGAGAGATCCTGACAGGTGGAAAGTGAGTGCATCACAGAGGGGTCCTCCGGAGTTGAGCTGGGCGGCCCGGAGGCCTCTTACTTCCTTCCCACCACCCCCGCAGGCTGAGCTCTGCCTCGCGCGGGCAGACTGGGGCACTGCAGCCTTCTGCCCTGCAGCTGCCCAAGACCGCGGACCCCACGGCGTCTCCCGGCCCCGGGCGGGAACCGTGGAGACCCTCCGCAGCCTCCGGGTGCACGCTCAGCAAGAAGCACCCTAGAGGGGCCGGGACTGGGACTGGCGCGCCCGCAGCTCTCTGGTCGCCGCCCCTCCCCGCTCCTCCCCTACGGCCGGGCTCTACAGCCAGAGGCCAGAGCCGCTGGCTAATTTTTCACGCTCCCCCCCAGACCGCCTCCCTGGGTGACGCTACAGCCTGTGCGGTTCCTTTAAAGGCTGCGGGTTCCGTTCTTCTTTCCTTTTCCACTGGATGCCAAAATATGCAAATCTTGGGACCGGAATCTGCAGCCAAATCGAGAAGGAGAAGGGGCGCGGCCGGCGCGTCACCGGATCCGCTCCTTGTATGGCTCTTCCCGGCTTGGCCCGCCGCCCCGCGACCCTCCCTGCAGCCGCCGGGGCCCCTCCCGCACCCAGCCCGGCTCACACCGCCGCCCACGCCCCCTGACCGGCCGCGCGCCCCCCCAGGGAGGGAGCTGGGGGCGGGAGGCACAGCCTGCCCTGATTCTGGCCGGAGCGCGGGACCGCCGCAGCGCGCTACCTCCCCGCACCGCGCGGGCGGAGGAGAGCCCGGGGGCGCTGTGACTGCCTAGTATAGGAGTGGGGAGCCTGGCGGGAGAGGTGGCGGGGGTGGAGAGAGGGGGCTTGCAGGAGGCGGGAATCCTTCTTTCCCTAAGAACTAGAGAAGATGGGGGGAGGCCGGGCCCTCCGGTCCCCAGTCCTCCACTGGGTGGAGGGGAGGGGAGGGGAGCGAGGTTGTCATCCACCCCCACTACAGCATGCAGCTCGGGAGTTCCTCCCACACGTCCCCGGCCCGCGTGGCCCTCCCACGGCGTGAGGCCCGGGGATCCTCTCCTCCTTGTCAACGCTCCCACTCCTCCTGAAAAATGCACGTTCCCCCAACCCGGACTCCCTAGCAGGGGACGAGGGATTCACCGCGCCCACGCGGCCACCGAGGAGGGAATCCTCCCCCGCCAAGCCGCTGTGATTTGGGGTCGCACCCCCCTGCTCCCGCCCTCTCCCTCGCCCTCGGTCCGGCTGCGTGCGCCTTGGGAGCAGGCCCCAGGGAGCACAGCAGCCGCCCCCGGGATCCGCTGCCGCTCCGGGAGGTGACAGCGCTCCGGGTCGGCACACAGGCCGCCCTAGACTGCAGAGCGCCGGCAGGCAGCAATGGGGACAGCCCTGTGGAAGGCGAGGGGGAGGGCAGAGACTAGGGGAGGCCGCTGGTGGCTCAGAGACAGTGGGTTCGGCGTCCTCCTGCTGCAACTCCGTGGCGGGCCCTTAGCAGGCAGCAGTAGACAGCGACTGCGCCCGGGCCTGCTGGGCCCTCCTGCCATCCCGTGGCCACAGAGGCTGCTTTGGAACCGTTAGGGAATTTACTGGGGATTCAGTGCACGTGTTTATCTATCCCTGCAACTTCTTTCTTCTTCACCACCAAAACCACACATCCTCCACCCCAGATGGATGGGGCTCTTTGGCGCAGCCGCTGGGGTGCTGCGAATATCCTCGCCACTGCGCTCAGCCTGGAGTCAGCGCCGGGTCAGGAGCCCAGGGAGGGGCAGGGGTGTGGGAGGCGAATCAGAGTGAAGTTGGCACAAAAGTTCTTGGGATATTGGACTAAGGAATTCTGACACGTTGAGTTCTTGGGATATTGGACTAAGGAATTCTGACACGTTGGAACACCCCCCCCCCCCCCTGCGCGAACCCCCCCTAACCCCCACAAAGGAAAGCACTGCCTTTCTCTTAATCTCGGATAGGATCCCGGACGCTGGAGCCGCTGCGGGAGCAGGGGCACACCGCACGCCTTCCGGGTTCCCCAGCGGTTCCCAAGCTGCAAAGGGACTTCGCCAGGTATTTTCAACTCTCTCTCTAACTGCTGGGGTGTTGGAGACCACTTGCAAACAACCCCACCCCACCGCCCAGCACCCCCCACTACCCTCTCCTAATGCAAACCTCAAATAAACACACATAATGAGTTACTGGTGTTTCGACTCCACGCAACGCGCTTCGCGCTTTGCATTCAGCTGTATCCTTCCTTCTTCTCTCTTCTCGCATTCTTCTTCTTTCTTCTCCCCTTCTCTCTCTTTTTTTCAAGAGCCGCGAGCGTTGCGGGCGCCGCACGTTGGCTGAGGCCCGCTTCCTGCTTTCTAATGTTCCATTGTGAGGAGCTTCCATTGTGACGTCGCGCCCCTTCGGCTGGGCTTTGTCTGTCCATATATGGGCAGCTACGTCACGGAGCTTTCCCGGGGCTCAGATAAATAGGCTGGTGGAGTTCCCTGGCTGGGAGCTTTTGGGCAGCAGTGAGCTTGCTAGGAAGCGGCGGGGCTGGTGGTGGTGGTAACAGCGGCGGCAGAGGCGGCGGCAGCGGCGGCAGCGGCGGCGGTGGCGGTGGCGGTGGCAGATGGGGGGGGGGGGGGGCTGCGGGCGCGTGTCTGTTTGTGAGATCAATACTGAGGCCGCGTCCGACCCCCTTGAGCCGAGATCCCCCCAGCACAGCCCCTACCCCACCCCCCCGCACACGCCCCACCCCACCCCCCACGACCCAGCCTCATAACGCACCAGCTGAGGCACCCAAGAGGATTACCCCCTGGGGCCCCCTCCCGCCCCCAAAAAGAGAGAAGATCCCCTCTCTTGGCCCATCCCTTCCCTTCTTCCCTCCCCCTCCCCCCGAACTTTCCCTCTCGCATGCTTTTCCCCTGCACCACGGATCGCCTCTCGGATGCCGCTTTCCTGGAAGCTGCGTTAGGAGCGAGCGGCGGCGGTGGCGGCGGTGGCGGCGGCGGCGGCAGCTCGGGAGTGCTATGACCGGCAAACTCGCCGAGAAGCTGCCGGTGACCATGAGCAGTTTGCTAAACCAACTGCCTGACAATCTGTACCCCGAGGAGATCCCCAGCGCGCTCAATCTCTTCTCCGGCAGCAGCGACTCGGTAGTCCATTACAATCAGATGGCTACAGGTAAGGGCGGCGGGGAGGCGGCAAGGCAGCGAGGAAGGAAGGGGAGAGGAAGAGGAGGAGGGGACGACCTGGTGATGGATGGATGGATGGATGGATAGATGGATGGATGGATGGATAAATGGATAAATGGATGGAGAGATGGGGGCGCGCTGGGAATTTTCCGGGGGGCGAGTTGCTTTTCCCACCCACTCCTCCCGCCCTCCTCGATCGGGAAGGCTAGGTTGGCGACGCCACGGTAGAGGCTTCGGTTCTCCCGGGTGGGGGCAGCCGCCGACCGGAGGGAGGTAGGTGCGAGCGGCTCTGGGGCTCTCCCTCCCCACGCAGGGGGCCCGATCGCCGGGCTACGCGCAAGGCGTGGTGCTGTCGCCCCCTTCCCGGGAGGAGCCCGGCGTCTTTTTCACCCGTGCTCTCCCCGCTTACTCCCTCAGCCTCCCACCCGGGATGGAGCCATGTGCGGCGTGGAGTCCCCGCGGTGGGAGAGGTACTGCGACGCTGCCTTTCCGGGGCGTTCAGCAAAGCCGTGGGGGTGTGGGGACGGCGGGGAGAAGGAGGGGGCTCACCCGCGGGGCGGGGGCTGCCACGGGGGACGATCCCAGGCCCGGTGAGCTGGGGAAGGGCGGTTGCTCCCGCCATGGAGACACGGGCCGGTTTTCCGCTGCTCTCCACCCTCTCTAGCTGGGGTTAGGCTTTTCCCCTCCAGCAAGAGCTGAAAGCTCCTTCAGGCCGGAGGAGGCTGGGGCCGGGGTAGGTGAAGGGAGAGCTCCCTTTGAGGGCGGCACCCTTCTACGCTCCGAGGACAAAGCGTCGGAGCGCTCTGGGTCGGCGACCCGGGAGCAGCGCGCGTGGGGGCATCGCCGGGGAGGGAAAGGCGCGGCGTCCTGGAGCAGACAGGGCCAAGGAAAGAGGCCGAGTTGTGTGCGGTGGAGAGCGAGAGCCCAGCGCGCTCCGGGTCTGAAACTACCTGTAGCTGCAGCTACCTGCCCGCCCAACCTCGGGAAGAACAACAATGCTTCTCGCGCGCGCGCGCGTGTGTGTGTGGTACGTGAGTGTGTGCGCGGCTTGTGCGGTGTGTGTGCAGCAGCCACTCCACACCCCGATCCGTAGTATTTTGCTGTATCCAGGTTGCGCCCGGGAGCGCGGCACCGCCCGCTTTGCGCCGGGCTCAGCGTTCCTCTTACCCCATGCGCTACGCACTCCACCCGGCCGCACCCTCAGTACCTGGGCGCCGCGGCTCGGAGCCGGCTCGGCTTCACTCACCCCTCCCCTCTCTCCCCCGCTCTCCGCAGAGAATGTAATGGACATCGGTCTGACCAACGAGAAGCCCAACCCGGAACTCTCTTACTCCGGCTCCTTCCAGCCAGCCCCCGGCAACAAGACCGTGACCTACTTGGGAAAGTTCGCCTTCGATTCCCCTTCCAACTGGTGCCAGGACAACATCATTAGCCTCATGAGCGCCGGCATCTTGGGGGTGCCCCCGGCTTCAGGGGCGCTCAGCACGCAGACGTCCACGGCCAGCATGGTGCAGCCACCGCAGGGCGACGTGGAGGCCATGTATCCAGCGCTACCCCCCTACTCCAACTGCGGCGACCTCTACTCAGAGCCCGTGTCTTTCCATGACCCCCAGGGCAACCCCGGGCTCGCCTATTCCCCCCAGGATTACCAATCGGCCAAGCCGGCGTTGGACAGCAATCTCTTCCCCATGATTCCTGACTACAACCTGTACCACCATCCCAACGACATGGGCTCCATTCCGGAGCACAAGCCCTTCCAGGGCATGGACCCCATCCGGGTCAACCCGCCCCCTATTACCCCTCTGGAGACCATCAAGGCGTTCAAAGACAAGCAGATCCACCCGGGCTTTGGCAGCCTGCCCCAGCCGCCGCTCACCCTCAAGCCCATCCGGCCCCGCAAGTACCCCAACCGGCCTAGCAAGACCCCGCTCCACGAACGGCCCCACGCGTGCCCCGCCGAGGGCTGCGACCGCCGTTTCAGCCGTTCGGACGAGCTGACCCGGCACCTGCGCATCCACACGGGCCACAAGCCCTTCCAGTGCCGGATCTGCATGCGGAGCTTCAGCCGCAGCGACCACCTCACCACGCACATCCGCACTCATACGGGCGAGAAGCCCTTTGCCTGCGAGTTCTGCGGGCGCAAGTTTGCGCGCAGCGACGAGCGCAAGCGCCACGCCAAGATCCACCTCAAGCAAAAGGAGAAGAAGGCGGAGAAGGGCGGTGCGCCCTCTGCATCCTCGGCGCCCCCCGTGTCGCTGGCCCCTGTGGTCACCACCTGCGCCTGAGGCTCGGGCCCCCAGATCCCCACTTTTCCCCTCCAGTGCCTCCCGCTGCTCGCCTGATAGCAGCGGGAAAGCCAGTCACGGAGGCGCAGGGGCCGCGCCCTGGCCTCTCCATGGACGTGCGGCCCCTTGCTCCCCTTCGACGCCCCCGGTTCCCAATCTTTCACGCCGGCCAGCGGTCAGGGGCCAGGGCTGGAGGCGCCTTCCCCTCGCGGTCCCCCCCTTAGCCAAGGCGTGGGGGCGGAAAGGTGGCGTCTAGCCCGCTTTGTTCAGTTCGGATCGCCTTGATCCAGGGGCCGCTGGGCCGCGCCAAGGACCTGCAAGGGACTGAAGGCGGAGCCCATCCAACCCTCGCCCGACCCAAACACCTCACAGTTTCCCCCACGTCTCCCTCTGTACCCCCTCAAAGACTCGAGAGGGGGAGGGGGTAAGGAGCGCACCAAAGCGCAGAGCTTGCTGCCCGCCGCACGCACGCGCGCCTGCGTGAGGGGATGCGCGCGAGTGTGTGCGTGCTCGCGTGTGTATGTATGTGTGTGTGTGAGTGTGTATGTGTGTGTGCGCGCGCGCCAGCGTGTGTGTAAGACTCTTGAGCTGAACTGGGCTGTGTTTACCCCCAAACTCTTCCCCACCTCGGGTCCCCAAGCCGCTGGAGGATGTCCCAGGCTGGGGTCCGCACGTGGCTGGAGGAGATGGTCTTCCATCCGCTCTGAAATCATGTTTCTTAGAGAAATGCCTCGGATGCCGCCGACGACGCGGTGCTCCTTCCGCCGCTTCGGGTTTGGCCCCTCAGAACCCCTCCTTTTCTGAGTGCTTCCCTCTTAGGCCTCAGGGCAGTTTGATCTGTGGGGAGAAAGAGCAGCCATCGCCGCCGAGCCTGCCTTTTAAAATAGATGTATATTTCCTTAGCCCCACTCTAAGAAATCTATGTTCCTGAGTTTGCCCTCTGGCCTCCCCCTCTTCCCCTTCTCCCCTCTAAACCTTCTCCCATCTCTTTCAAAATCTTTTCCCAGAAAGGCAGGCTTCAACCAGCCACTCCGGCTTTGTGTCTTCTCTCACTTACATAGCAATTTCTCCCTCCCACCATCATGGGGAAGCTGGCTCTGCTTTTGCCCTTTGTCATCACCAACACAACAGATAGAATTTAAATATATGTATATGGTGTGTGTGTGTATGTATGTGTATGTATATGCATGCATGTGTATATAGATACACATGCGTACATATATATAACATACACACAATATGTATTCCTAGCAAAATAAAATCTCTAAGGTACTTGGTTATCCAGTGCAGTGCACCGGAATAAAGAGAATTTGTAGGCGTATACAGCTTTAAATGATTTATTTTTTATGAAAATGTTAACTGATGAGATTATATCTACATATATGTGTATGTGTGTGGATATAGATACACACATATCTGTACATATATGTGTGAGTGTATATATACATATACACATATATGTACAGATATGTGTGTATGCACATTATACACATCTCTGTCCAAATTCTCCTCAAAGATATGGGGATTTTTTTCATGAATCCATGTTGATGAATGAGGTGTCTCCTTTCCATACCCAGTCTCACCTTCTCCCCACCCTACCTCACCTCTTCTCAGGCACCCCTCTTCCCCAGCTGTCCTGCCAGCCCTTCTCGCACAGGGTGGCTCCTTTGAAGTGGAGTAATAGGGAAGGTTGCTCTCTGCCACCGCTTCCAGCACGGTCTTGACTGAATGTACTGTCCCTGTTAGCGTTATTTCTCCTGTGGTCAGTAAGCTACCCAGAGAGAAGGAACAAAGGTCTGGAGTTTACAGAATGTCTGTTTTTAAAGTCACTTTACGCGTTTTCCACTTTTTTTTTAAGAGAAAGAAGTACCATTTTTGCTTTGTTTTGTTTTGATTTTTTTGGTGGTGGATAAATCATACTAAAAGGACTCTAGTGGAAAGGGGGGAGATCGAAGA